CTCATAAGCGATCTCGCTTTATTCACCTTTTTTTCAAATAGAATTTTCCAAGCACAGGTTACAGCAATTCAATAGAAACTGTTAAACACAACAAAGGAATGAAAGAGCGCAGACATTCAAAATTAGTGTTTAAAGCACTTAAATGGTAGTTAGGTGGTTTAGTAAGCTATTTATAGAAATCTAAACTGCACTTTCTACGCAAATAAGAAGGGCCTAGGCTTACTCTTGACTTAGAAGACCTTTTTAACTTTCCATTCTATAAAATTATATATACCTAAATCAAAGCAGCACTAGATTCATAAACATGAACAGAACATACTCTGACAAGTAAGCGAAGTTACTTCTAGAGGAAGTTTCATTGCTACTTCGTTTGCGGCGTAGGCTTCGTACATTTTTGATGTATTTATGGCCCAGTACCTAAAGCAGAACTCGAAAAACCAATATTCCCACAAACTTATACCCTTTGGACAAAGGAGTATTCAAAGTAATTTAAAGGAGAAAAACTCCGAAGTGCACTAGTGGTTAACGCGCTCTAGCGTAAAAATTCCACTTTCCTAGAGCATGATTTGTCTATGGAGCAGCATTTCTCGTTCACATTGCACTTTTTTCTTTGAAGATGAAAGTACTCAGTGATCAGTGGTCGCTGTCATGTTCTTATCTGGCCCTTTGTTACCTTAAGGTTACTGCTCAATATTTCCAATTACATTTCAGGTAACAATGCAGAGGTTGGGAAGCACATTAGCTCGAATGGCCATTCGACCCACTTTGACGTATCGTGCGTCTAAATTTATCCCTACGATGATTAGAACACAAAGAATGTGCACCGCAAATGATATTGTGTTTCATGTGGACACGGTTGAGGACTTCACTGAAAAGGTACGTTAGCGTTTCATTGTCTAATCTCAGTTAGTTTTCCCTAAATTTTTGTTTTCTATATAGGGCAGCCACAGGCTGTCCTGAAAATGGGGATGATCTCTATAAGCCCCTTTCTTTCTTTTCCCTTTTTATCTGCCACCGTATAATGTGTACAGAAGGCATATTAAGGAAGTACCTTCAAATCAGAATATTGAAGTGAGGCTTTACGTAAATTGAACTAAATTGGTCTAAAGGAAATACATTAACCAAGATCAAATTATATCATTTTGCTTACTTTCTACTAGGCTTAAAGTTGCTCATTTTTTCAATTTTCGAACATATTTAGCTTTATGGTCTTCGCTTAAAGTTTCTAAGAAACGGTACCTTATATATATATGCAATTTTCCCCTTTTTTGAAAAATTTTTGCTTTTCTTCAATTCAAGCAAATTCAGCAAGTTGAGAATGTACCGTTTTCGGGAGTCGCAGGCGTGTTGTTATCTCTATCACGTGTTTTTCTTACTTGAATAGTGCAGTTTCGAAGGCCCGAATTGCACCAACTATCGATTAAACATGCCTTCTTCGTGAATCTGCGAAAAATAACCCATCGTAATTGTTCAAATGAATATTACCATTTTTAGGTTGTAAACTCTCCAGCACCGGTGATAGTGGACTTTCACGCAGACTGGTGTGGCCCTTGTCGCGTTCTTGGACCTCGCCTAGAAGAAAAGGTAGGCTTCCAGCTTTAACCTACGTGCTTATTTACTCAGGTACGACCAGTCTTCACTCATCATATTCTCAGTTAGTTCATAACGCTTCTGTCTTTCTTTGTTTTATATGATTTTTTTTTAAATTAAAGCTTTGCTTTATTCTTGTAGTACTTTAAGGCTGGTCTTCCTGCATTTGTAGTCATGAGTAGACTTCTCAATCTTTTTGCTGTATAAGGAAAATGCTTCAAATCTCACCATAGTACATTCCAGTCCTTTTTTTACACCTTATATCCTGGGATTATTTACCTTCAATTTACGAAATCGACCATCTCCGATATTCTCATCTTTATCTTTGAACTTTCTTTTGCTTATTCAATTGAGAACATTCTGCAATACTTCGATCTTTTAATTAGACTTTTAATAGTGTTCTCCTTAAAGGTGAAAACATTTACACGCCACATTTTTCTCATTTGCATGAAAGACGAACCCTCGCATGTGCTCATCGCAAAAACCCAAGTCTTTCAGAACAGTTCTCTTTTTTGTGTTCCAGAGAGCAGTTTTAGAGCAGTTCTCTTTTTGGTGTTCCCATCCGCGCCTCCTGTTATCCTTTCTCAACAGATCCCTAAGCAAGTGCTATTTCTAGAATTTTTATTTTTATATTATTTTTATTTCAGTAGGAGGTCTTAAAGATTCTCCTTTTTTCCTTTTCCACTTTATTTTGCCAAATCAACATACTTGCGCGCGGAACTACAAATTTTTGACATGGGACGCCAATCATGCCTTCGATTAGTGGGAGTTCCGCTTAGTACTTCTTAGTGGAATTTTACTCCTTCTAGATGAGTGAGATCTATATGAGGTATTGCACATTGCCGTGATTTGTAGTTGGGATCAAATTTCGGTCTATGTTGAAAATGTACGTCAGATCGACAAGCGTCCGTATGCTTCAGCTGATTTTAATCATTTGAGCTTTTTTCGTCATTTTCACTTCGAAATTTTTTTATTTCTTCTTTTTCATTTTTTCAAAATGCCATTCGCATTTTGTGCGCAAGTTGTATAATTTAATTTTTTATTTGAAGCGCGAACGTAAAAGAACGCTACGCCAGAGAGAACTCTTTGAAATAAGTAAACCTTTTGGACTAATCAGCGATGCGCCAACGACTGTCATCCGGATACTTGAATTGCAGCGCATTTGCGAAGGTGAAGAGGGGTTTGGCCTCAACTGAATTTGCATGCTGAATCATGACACTCGAATGCAAATATAGTCTGTTTCTCTGGGCCTGACCCGCGCATGGTTTTTGTGCGCAGCTGCACATACGCGCGCCGCATACAACGACTGTCTCCAAAGCTACTTGACATTCCTTGACTTTCTAGCTTTTCTCTGCTTTTCTCGGCGTTCGGATTGTTTCATCGCATCTTAGGAATGAAGAAAGGCTGTCAGTATCTTCGATAGGCATCGCAGTAAAATCATTTCAATGTTGCTGCGGACCAAACACTACCCATGGTTAAGACTCAGGCGAATAAACTGCATTCAGGGGTGACACATACGCGCAATCTGCGCTATGCAGCTATATCCGCTTACATTTGCACATATACCACTTTCCACGTAGTTTAACGTGAAATGCTTACCCATTCTTTGCGAAT